CTGCTGGCTCGCTGCGGGGCCCTCCGCCGCCGCCAACGGCGCACCAGGAGCTGGGGACGGCGGCAGCGGCAGCGGCGGCGGCGTCGCGCTCGGCCATGGTCACTAGCATGGCCTCGATCCTGGACGGCGGTGACTACCGGCCCGAGCTCTCCATCCCGCTCCATCACGCCATGAGCATGTCTTGCGACTCGTCCCCGCCCGGCATGGGCATGAGCAACACCTACACCACGCTGACGCCGCTCCAGCCGCTGCCGCCCATCTCCACCGTGTCGGACAAGTTCCACCATCCGCACCCGCACCACCACCCACACCACCACCACCACCACCACCCCCAGCGCCTGTCGGGCAACGTCAGCGGCAGCTTCACCCTCATGCGCGACGAGCGCGGGCTCCCGACCATGAACAACCTTTACAGCCCCTACAAGGAGATGCCCGGCATGAGCCAGAGCCTGTCCCCGCTGGCCGCCACGCCGCTGGGCAACGGGCTGGGCGGCCTCCACAACGCGCAGCAGAGCCTGCCCAACTACGGGCCGCCGGGCCACGACAAAATGCTCAGCCCTAACTTCGACGCGCACCACACTGCCATGCTGACCCGCGGTGAGCAGCACCTGTCCCGCGGCCTGGGCACCCCGCCCGCGGCCATGATGTCGCACCTCAACGGCCTGCACCACCCGGGCCATGCTCAGTCCCACGGGCCGGTGCTGGCGCCCAGCCGTGAGCGGCCACCCTCGTCCTCGTCTGGCTCGCAGGTGGCTACATCGGGCCAGCTGGAGGAGATCAACACCAAAGAGGTGGCCCAGCGCATCACCGCCGAGCTGAAGCGCTACAGCATCCCACAGGCTATCTTCGCGCAGAGGGTGCTGTGCCGGTCTCAGGGGACTCTCTCCGACCTGCTCCGGAACCCAAAACCGTGGAGTAAACTCAAATCTGGCAGGGAGACCTTTCGCAGGATGTGGAAGTGGCTGCAGGAGCCCGAGTTCCAGCGCATGTCCGCCTTACGCCTGGCAGGTAAGCACAGAGGGTCTCCTGGAGCCCGGCTGCTGTGGAGAGGGCTCCGGGGGGGCTTGTGGCCCCAGGTCAGCGCGCCTAGCCTCGGTTCTTTCCTCCTCTCCGCACTTTCTATTTTCTCTCGACTTTATTTCTTCTTCTGTCATTTCCTTCTTCTTCCTTCTTCCTTTTCTGTTCTTTTTCTTTTGCATCTTACCTCTCTTCCTCCCTCCTTGACTCCGAGCTTTCATTGACCGACCCCCCTCCACCACATTTCATTCACCTTCCCCTGAATGTGCCAATTTTACCCCTCTTTCTGACCTTCCCTAGCTGTGGGACAAGGGACGGGGTGCGCGATGTCCACTAGGAGCTTTCTCTTTACAGGACTCACAGAGACCCGGGATTGGCCCTTTTCAAAGCCCTGTGCACTTGAACTCTTGCTTAGACAATACATTTCAGTTTTCCAGGCTGCCTGGTTTCCCTATATGGAGGCAGTTGAGGGGCTTTGCTCTTGAGAAAGGAAAAAAAAAAAAAAATTCTCCGTTCTTTTCCTACCCATCATATCAGGCAAACTTGTTAGTTATTAGCAGGAGTCACAATCTTGACCGCTCGGGGAACGGGTGGCTAGGATACACAGCGCTTTCCAGGCTCATCTCCGGCCTTGGCGTTGGCGCGGGGAGTTTCTGACTGAAAGAGCCGGCTTGGCACTGCCTACAGAGAGGGGAGGGTGCAAAGACGAAGGTTAGGACTAACACGTTCACCTCTAGGAGGATGGGGGAGGAAAAACTAAGAATGGAGAGCTCCCTGACTAACTCGCCGGCCACCCTTGCCCGGCTCCCAGCTTTTGCTGGGATTTCCCGAGGTTTGGCTGGGCTCGGAGAGAGGCTGGGCGCTCGTGAGGAGAGGTGTTGAAAAATTAAGATGCAGGTTAGTTGATGCATCTTGGCCACGGGCTACAGGCTCCGCCTTTGCTTTAAGCGGACGCTGATTGTGCGCGTAGCGCGGCGGCGGGGAGGGCAGGCGGCCCGCGGGAGGGGACGGGTCGACGCGCTGGTTACATTGTTCTGGAGCGGGCTTGGTTCTTTGTGCCTCCTCTAGCGGCCGAGCCGCGAGGTACAGCCCTCTATTGTTCTAGGAGCACAGATACCTCCTGTGTGGGCGGCGGGAGCGAGAGAGAAAGACGCAGCAGCGGCTGCGACTGGCACACAGTTGCGCGCTTTTGTGCGCGCAGACCCAGCGCGGTGCGCGTGGCAATTGCGCAGCCCCCAGGACCTAACCGTGGGTCCAGGGGGCCAAAGTGTCCAGGCGCCCCACTGGGTAGGACACACAGTACCCTACTGCAAGTCTGGATGGGCAGTTTCTCTTGGACTGGGGCCATCTCTCTGGATCCGCGGGCCACCGAGGGGACAATCCGTAGTGGCAGTGATTTACATTGGTGCGGAAAGTGGGATGTGCGTTGTGTGCGGCCGGCACGGTTCGGAGCTAATACACAACGCGCTTCCGGAGCGGCAAGCTCAGGCTTCCTCTCCCGCTCCCTGGGGCTTTCCTCGCACCGCTGAGCCTGGCTTATGGGGTGCACTCTACCGACGCCGGACCGGGCTGGGGGCGTGTTCACCCAGGCTTGGGGAGGGGGCGTTGCCACTCTGACCGCCTCCGCCTCCGATTTCCAGGCAGTTATCGCCTCTCAGTATTGATCTGAAAAGGTAAAGAAAACTATTCCCCCAAAAGCTTCCCCAAATCGATGGACTCCCAATACTTTGGTGTGCGTTTAGTAATCTTTCTCCTTTAGCTTACACTTCATTCTCCACTACAATTTTCTCTTATTTGCTCCTGGTTCCTAGGAAAGATTAAGCAGTGCATAGAGGGCAGCGGTGAGAAACTGGAGGCTTACTGACACTTCTGAACAGTGTGGTACCCCTTTGTCTTGGCCCCCCAAAACGCCCCCAGTCCCTCTCAGGTAAGCTCTAGCATCGGCTGGCTTCCTGGGCACAGGTGGCCAGAAGGAGCTTGGCAGCTGGAGTAGAGGGTACATTAAAGGCAGGATGACAGCTAGTCTATTCCAGACCATCTCAGAGCACTGCCGCCCCCTCATGCCTGTCCTGCAAAGGACAGAGCTGGAGGGAAGGAAGGAAGGAAAGAAGGAAGGAAGGAAGGAAGGAAGGAAGGAAGGAAGGAACCTTGTGCCAATGTGTGTCAGAAAGTGATATGGCACGTAATGCTTTACGTGTTAGCCCAACTCAGCCCCAAGCATTGCTGGGATAAGGGAGAGTGTGGCATACATGGGGGTCCCCAGACCCATCACCCCACCCCAGGAAAGTCAGGGTAGGGGGGCAATCCTTAGGGGCTGGCCCCGGGAAGCATGGAGGCTTTCCAGAGGAGGAGTGCTGAAGCCACCTCCACAGGAGACTGAAAGCCCCCTTCAGCGAGTGGGAAATTCCTGCTGAGGACCCCGTTTTGCTCAAGCATTCAAATGTGTGTCTGTTTTATTACCCCGAGTTGAAAAGGGACAAGAGCTTTAGCCTTTTTATCTGGCCATTTTATCAGCAACTACAAGTGTGTTGAGTGGTTATTATTACATAGGAGGCTTTTCAGTTTGGGGTCAGTAGATCAGTCTCTTCAGACACTGACACACAAGCTAGGACTGGTAAGTAGGTATTATGTGCTCAGGAGCGCTAGGGGACAGGAGCAAATGGAGAAGAAAAGCAGAGGCCTTCCCCACCAGGAGTATTGATTGGAATCCCTGCAGGGACGCTGTTGAGGGCCCACACGGTAGGGCTCTGGGGGTTAAACAAGCCCATGGCTCCACAGGGCAGCTGGGCCTGACTGCCAGGCCAGAGCCTCCAAGAGCCGCCTGGGCACCTCCAGCTCGCCCCAACCAGGCCTCTTTTCTCTCCCTTCGTCTCCTTTTAGTTTCCCTTTCTCTTTCTCAATTTGGACCCCTCTGGGTCTTGCCAGAGGCCCAAGCAGACAGGGATCTGAAGGACCTCGGAATCAAGATGTCTGATTTGGACCCGCTCCTGCAGACCTCACCCTTAGGCGCCCCAAAAGCAGGTCCTTCCTCTCCTCCCCCACTTGCCTCCCCCAGGTCTCTCTCCTCTGCGCCCACTGCTTGGGTGTATCCACAGCTCAGGGTGGCATTTCAAAGGGTCAGGGACAAGACGTCGGGGAAACCCAGATCGCCCCAGCACTAGATTTCAGAGAAACGGACCCCAAGAGCACGATTTCGTTGGGAAAGGGTGGCCAAGGCAGCAAGGAGTTGCAACCGCGCATTCGGCGGCTCTCAGCGCGCGCTCCCGCAGGGCAGTTTGTATTTCCCGGCACCAGGCGGGCGAGAACAAACTCCCGCGGGTTTAAACACTAACACTCCCCAACTTTGAGCCCAAGAAGCCTCTGAACCAAGCACGGACGCGAAAAAGGAGGGACTGGAAAAAACAAAACAAAACAAAAAACCCAGGCAAAACCTGGACGGGCGGCTCACGGAGGAAAATCAGGGCCTCCGTGGCGGGAGTGGTTTCCTCCAGCGCCCAGCAGCCAGAGCGGAGCCTCTGACGGTATAGCCTGCCACGGTTTGCGCCTCCCGTGACCCGGGCTCCCGGGGCGGCCTGCTGGGAACCTGCCACGTGTCCCGGCGGTGGACAGACATACGGCCCTCTTCAGACAGCAACTCCCAGCGGCCAGTCTGGAGGCAACTGTTCAGACAGCCATGGCCTTTCACCAACCTGCCGAGAGGTTGCCTGGGCCACCTGACGCCCGCGGCGGCAGAGCCTGCCCGGGACCGTGCGCAGCGGCTTCTGCCAGGGGCACCACAGGCCTGCGTTTCTCCTTCGGCACCAGGAAAGTCGTGGGCTACGCTGGCCGACTGGCATCTTTCTAAGCGGAGAGGCGGGGACCTCATTGTCGGAACCTCACACCCACCGCCCCTCCCGCGGGTCCGGCTCCAGGCCCAGCTCAGCCCCTGTCTCCCCACAGTTGAGGGCGGGATCCGAGCCCCAGAGACCGAACGCAACCCACGTCGGTACCGAACACGAGATACTTTCGCCTGCTGGCTGGTCGGATTAATAATTGAAAAGCTCGCTACTGTCCTTGTTTGGTCAAGTCCCGGGTGCCTGGAAAACACCTTTCTAACACGCATCAGGGTGAGCGGGAGCGGGCAGAGAAGACCGAACGCAAGGAAAGGTGGTGAAGCCGAGCGCGAGAAGTAGCCCAGGCCGCCAGGCGCCCTCGACGCGAGCGGCTGTGCATTTATTTTTATTCCAGGCTTTCCACCGTGTGGTTATGTCACTTTTTCAAACAAATGTGTATATGGAGGGAGATCGATGCTGATAATGTTTAGAAGATTAAAAGAGCATTAATGCTGGCAACAATAACGTAAACGTGTGGACCCAGATCTCATTGATCTGGAACCTGATCCGGCGCGTTTCCAGTAAGCCCGACGGCGCGCCCTTCCCAGCAGAGCGCTCGCCAGCGCCCCCGCTCCCCAGCCCCCGTCTCCCCGGCGTTCCCGCCGCGCCGCTTTGCCTGCTCCCGGCGGGCCCACCGGTCAAACCGCGGATTCTCCCCGCGCGGCCCCAGCCGGCCCCTTCCTAAGGCTTTCTCGGGTCGCAGAACTGCTAGCCATGTCCGTGGTGCGGAGGGCTCTGCGGCGGGCTGAGTCCGCGAAACCGCGAAGGGCTGCACCGGGCGGCGCCGGAGTCCTCCCAACTCTCTCGTTCTCGGAGGACCGTCGCTCCCGGGTCCCCATGGTCCTCGTCTGGTCAAACAGGGCCCGGGGCAACTTCTTTCCTCCTTCTAAACCGTCCAGGAAATTTGACCCACCTTTCGATATGCGGGAACGACCAAACCCGACTTGGAAACGTCTCTGAAGTTGCCATGATAACCGCGCAGCTTCCGGACCCTCGGATCCCCTCGAATCTTTCCTTGTTTTCATTAAAAGGAATCATTCACACGAAAGTGTTCGCATTCACCGGTTTTCTACACTGAGGCATTAGGTGGGCAATTAAATGCCGCCCCAGTGACAAAGG